TACTGAATTAGTTAATACTAACCCTCATCAGTACATGAGAGTCCTGGTGTGGCGCTGTGGGTTAATACGCTAGACTGCAGAGTCAGTTTAAACTGCATGGTTGGTGGTTCAAGCTCACCAGCCGCTCCTTGGACACCCTCTAGAGGTTCACTATGGTTTGGAACTGACTCAACAGTACTTAACAACAACAACAACAACCCTCATCAGTATAGGAGTACACTTACATAAAGTAGTATTATGTCATAGACACAAAATGTCCTGTGAGTGCAGAACAGATCATTCATTTGAACTCAGATTATCTGGCTGCTGAGCTGATTTCCTTTACTTCTCTCTATTAACAGAGAGGCAATTAACATATTTAAATAGGCATTCAGATTTCATAATTTTACTTAAAATGTTTTAATATCTTCTTCCGAATATAGTCTTTTCTTCTGGGTATTTCCATCTCTACCCATGAAGCTAATATGTAGTAGGGAGAGACCAATCAACCAGGTTCACACACTGGATCTGAGGTCAAGTTTAGAACATGTTATCAATTATTCTGAAGTTCAGAGGATTTCCTCATGGAAACATGACATTTCTGCCTAAGTGACTGCTTCTAGGTATATACATGGATAATAGTCTTTGTTCTCCTAACTATGTGGGTAAAATGTCATTCCTCTGATATGATAGGTCACAAATCATTTGTAGAAAGCTTATTTCACCTGAGAGGATATTCAAATACCCACCAAGACCTCCAGTTGATTCCAATGCACAGTGACACTCTAGTGCAGAGGGACATCCCACATAGTTTCTAAGACCACAGATATTTATAGACACAAGGGCCACATCATTCTTCAGTGCAGCCACTCATGGGTTTGCTCAGCAGCCAAGAACTGTAACTACTGCACCATTAGGGTTGCTTTCATGAATCGCTGGGATATGCAAATCAAATCACTTCATCTGTAAATGGCAAGGATAAAATGATAAGTTAAAAATAAAACAGGAAAACAATAGATGTTGGAGAGGATGCAGAGAAACTGGAAATCATCTATTCCTGTGGAAATGCAAAATGATACAATTGAGGTGGAAAACAATTTTGTGGCTCTTCAAAAGTTTGAAAATGAGACTACCATGTGACCTAGCAACCCCAATCCTACATAAATACCCAGGAGAAACAAAATCAGGAATGCAAACAGAAACTGGTATACCAGTTACAGCACTTACCACAATAAGTGGAATTGATGGAAATGTACAAGTGATGAACAGATAAATACAATACGATATATACATACAATGGAATACTCTGTTGCCATAGAGTTACTTCTGACTCACAGATCATATAGGACAGAGCAGAATCACCTGACAGAGTTTCCAGGGCTGTAATCTTTGAGAGGCAAACTGTCACATCTTTCTCTCATTGAAGCAGTTGGGGGTTAGAATTTCTATTCTTACAGTTAATAAGTTAATGATTGCGGCAAAAAGACAACTTTTGGATGAATTTAAAGAAATTATTGTGAGTAAAATAAGTCAGTCGTAAAAGAAC